CGAATTCAGGTCTTTGGAAAGTTTGCCAAGCTTCAAACAAAGGAGAAGAAAATACATGGATTATAGCAGAAACAAGTACTTTGCACTAGCACTGCAGTGAGTTAAGGAAGACAAATGGTATCACACCAGTGTGTGAGGATGCTCTGTGACAATACAATCCTGCAAAAGTGGCACACTGAAACTGCATGGCAGTATCGGAGCAAATGTTTAGTTCATTCAGTTCAGCTTCCGTGTGTTTTATACTTTATTTGGTGAGGCTGCCTATGCTACTTTCATACCCTACAGGCTATGAAATGAGTACTTTACTGGAAGCACAACAGCCAACACCAAGTGCCCTGCAGAACAGGGACAGCGTGGGACACAGAAGCAGAGCACGCACAGACCCAAATGGGATAGTGGGAAAAGACTGGTGTGGATCAGGGCAGGGTGGTTGGGTTGGGTGGGTAGAAAAGGTTAAACTAGAAGAATGAAATGAGGGGGATGAGCTAGGGAGGAAGTCAAGAGGAGAAATGAGACTTAGTCAATCCCTAAATTATGGTAAGTTTAGCAATAGTTTCTCCAGATACAGCTACTCTCCCCTCTGGCAAGTCTCAAAGGATCCTGAAGCGCTTTGTGTAAAAGCCACAATTTTAATAACACAGTTCCTATAGGGTGATGTTCTAGAAATAAGCTGCGTAATTTTTATCACCCGTATGCGTCGGCGTGTATTCCAGTGACGATGCCGTTCGTGGGGCTCACCAGTTTGTCCCACCTTCAAGCAAGAACGCGCTGCTCCTTGGGCAAACTGTCATGACTGCCGTTCAGCGGCTGAGGGCACTCCATGACCGGCTAAGCGGAGCGCCCGGCCCCGCCAGCTGCTCACCCGGGGCGGCGGCGCCTTGGGCAGCAGGCGGCGAGCAGTGAGGCCGGCCGGGCTAACGCCCGGCTCCGCCTGCCAAAAACACGGTGGCCAAAACCACGGCTGTGACTGCAGGAGCACGGCCAGTTAGCCCAGGCTGCCGTGCGGGTGGTGGAGAAGTGTTATCGCTGGCACGGTGGGAAGGACGTTGAGGTTGTGAGACAGTGTGGAGGCCAGGTAGGCGGCGTTGGTACCGATTTCACGTCAGGACTGGGTTGCCCTGGCAAATTCACAGCCGTGAACACGGTGCCAAGGGTCTGTAATATGCAGGGGAGTCGGACCTCCAGGATCTAATGCGCTTCTTTCCGGAAATTTAAGTCTTCAAACACCTCTTCTTCCCAATGCTGGGGTAAGAACAAGTGGTTCCTGCCAAGACCTTCTTCTCACAAGACTGTAATTAGGCCACTTACAACTCTGTCAAATTCCCACTCCTCATCTGACCGAGAGATTTATGCATGCCCAGGCTTCCCAGACCCTCCATAATCAGGCTTTTATGAAAAAGCTGTACACTTGTGTCAAAATGAAGCTGTAGGGATAAGGGATTAGTTTTTTTTCTGGAGCCAGAGACAGAAGGCATGTCTGAAGCCTGAGTTCGGGCTACGTTTACCCTGTTTCCTGGCAGGGTAACTGCAGTCCTACATACTGATCTGGCTACAGAGCTGCTGCTATCTTAGCTAACTTGCAAATGAGCTTCTTGTGCAGGCTGCAGGTACACTTGAGCACTCTGCTTGAAAGAATAGGTGGGAGATTACAGAATGCTGGCTAGGATGGCTTTCCCCTTGCAAGATGTGAAAGGGTCAGTTTAAAGCCTTTGCATTAATGCTGTTCTATCCAAGAGAACAGCTTCAGAAGGAGAAAGTGAAATACGTTAATTGCGAAATACCCAGTAGCTCTCCACAGAAGCTAAGAAATGCAAGTAATGCAAGTGTAAAAAATGTCAGTGCCAGCACATAAGCTTTTAGAGGCCCCTGGAACACTTAAGTACTGAACTTAGCAGCTACAGCTAAAGTTACCCAATGAGCTGTGCATATTTGGACTTAGAAGGCAGGGCAGAACTTGCAAGGCGCTGGAAAGACCAAAGAAGAGGAAAGATGAAGGAGCAAATCCAGAGGCAGAAAGGGCAGAAACGCAATTCATCATGGGGGTTAAGAATGCTGTCAAAAATTCTTATTCTTGCAACAGCTTTTCCTTTGTAAAACCTCGCAATGAACAGTATAGTAAGCTTGGCACCTTGAAATAAGTGTTTGGTAAATGCTACCTGTGCCAAAGTGGGAGAAGCAATCATAGAGTAACTGAACAGGCTGCACAGGGCAGCCCAGCAGCCTCACAGCCTTTTGTAACTCAGAGGGAATGCAGCTTAAAGACTTTGCTTCAGAAAAGTATGTCAGAATAAATAGTCCTAATCTTGCTTAGCAGAACATTTTGTATATTCAGCTTTAACCATGTGCTTGTGTCCTCTTCAGGTCAAGCTTAACAACCTTTACCGGGCAAAGCCCGTTTTTCTTAAATTTCGCTTTTTACCATGTGTAGTACCACTTCTTTCCAGTGGAGGGAAAACGTGTACGTCTATCCAGACTATTTTCCCCTTTCCCTGTACGCCTTTCAGCACAGCAGACCAAAGCCACTTACTGACAGAAAACAAAGCATCAAGAAATCACGTTTACATTAAGTAACTTATTTTGCAATAACACATGCTAATTTGGAGAAAGTTAAATTGCGTGAGGGAAACAATGTTAGCCCGGGGAAGCCAATGCTTGTAAGGCTAAGGGGTGAGTGGGCACAGGACTGAGTACAGTCTGTGTATCCCAATTTTATCCTCTTCTTGTTTTTACCTCTATCCCTATGGTTAATCACTAGTAATACTGAAGTGACTTGACTAGACTTTGCGGAGTGAGGTAGGAAATAAGACACATGCATGCAGGAGTGCATGTCCCATAAAAAACTGTGGATGGGTAGAAATAGAGTGCATACGATCCAATACATTTGACACTTGAGCACTGTTACCTTTGTAATGCAATACCTATGTAGGGAGACTTAAATAGTTATTCTCCACTTTTGTGGGGGTTTGGGGGGGGGGAGGGGTCCTGATAAGGCATGCATCCTGATGTTGACACTGTAAAATAAGTATATTTTGCTGTTATTTTAAGATCTGAAATGAGGGATGTTCAGAGACTGACACTGAAATAATTTATACAGTTACATGCTCTGAGAGTCGTGTGTATTAAATCAACTAGATTTAGATTTTTTCACCAGCAATGAAAGTGGGTAGAAGTATTCTTAGTGTGGGCCAACAAGCAAATAATACTTCAGAAAGGTGTAGCAAACCAAGGAAGTAATAAACTTCACATATTTGCATCTTCAGAATGGGAGAAATGAAAAACCATTTCACATTTCAGAACTCTTCTCCCATACACATGCTTTACTCTGCAACAATCGTCTGTAGTCAAACATCTAGATCAGAGGTCCTGGACTGCAGTTGCCTTCAGGGGTCTTCAAAATCTATTCATGTGCATTTTGGATGTTTAAGGAAATGCTTCTGCTTGTGAAAATAAAATTTTAGAGTATCTGTTGTCAGACAGCTCTGGGAGGTGTCACCAGGCATGGGTTCTTCTAGGGACAGGCCAGCTCCTGGGCACCGGGGCATGCACCCCAGTGACTTGAATGGTCTGAGCAAGTCCACGGGCCTCAGCTTCATGCCGAGATAAAAACCAGGCAGTCCCTGGCGCTCCGCTGTGGTGGAGTTGCTTAGGCACGGGTGGGAAAAACTCCTTCCCTTCCTCATGCGCAGGAGCAGACGCTGGTTAGGGGCTGCTCGCACGGGCCACAGCACTGATCGTCTGTCAGAAACTCCCGCTGCCCCACAAGCAGCAACAGTCAAGTCAGAAGAAGACACCCTGTGCTGCCCTCGCCCTGCCG